TGTCCTCAGAAAATGTCTGATATCTGACCTTTCCCCCACTGCCCTTTGACCTGTGACCTCCAATTTCGCACTATTCCCACCAAATTCGAAATATTCCCCCTCCGTTTACACATCTTGACCTTTGACCGTTGACCTCCAAATTTGTCATCCCGAGTCCTTTTCACGATCCCCCCGACGTCCCGAATATCGTGACTGTACATCGAGCGGTTAAGATTTGTGCCCAACTGTTGACGCACGCACGCACGCACGCACGCACGCACGCACGGCCGGACGGATGAACGGACAATCATGCGATTCTACAAGCTGCATCTGACTACGTCAGATGAGCTAAAAATGATACAGCTAGCTGTCACTCACATGAACAATGCTTAGTAATGCATGTTTCACAATTTTAACCTCACCTCTAAAAGCACTTCCTCTACTCGCTGTAATTTCTCTGTGCGTAATAAAGTCGTTTTCATCTTTAACATTGCCTGAAACATTAGTGACCCCATTAGTGTCGCATTCTATCAAGAGTTGCTGTGATATTATCTAAATATTTTAATTATACACACAACGCATCATTAACAGAAATAAAAATAGCTATACCAAACACCTTTTAGCCATTTTCGAGTATCTTGAGCATTTATGCCGATGTTGTGAGTGAAACTACCGTGAAAAATGTGACTATGTACAGAAATTACGTGAAAGATGAGGGTTTCTTTGACAGTTAGTCTCGTAATAAAAAGATCGTCCTGCTGCACATATCCAGACATAACGGCGACCGCAGCACCAATGTTGCAGCCATTGATCGTCACGTCACCATCTAACACCAACTGCCTATCACGGCATGTCAGTGCATTTAGTAGTGTTGTCTTTCCACATCCACTGCAACACATAGAATGTTTGAAACGAGAAATTAGCCAATTAACTGTACATAACACTAAAGCTGGGTTTACAGTTACACTATCAACTTTTTGTTGAAAAGTTGACGAGCTGATCAACCTTTCACTTAATCGGCCGAAAGACAGCAGTGTAAACATAAAATTTGAGCACTTAACAAGTTGCTATCAACAATGTTCTATTTTCTAAACATTTGGTCAGCGAGGTGAACAAGTTTTTGCCACTTATAAGCCACTCTGATAATAGCAATCAGGTGTGTCCCTTCACCCAGGGGGAGGATGTGGTTTTGCTATCGGCGCCACACTCGCGCGTGTATACCTACGTGATATAGGTATACGTATACCTAATAGGTACCTACGTGTAAAAATGCGTATCCACGGCGCCCGCGCACACACTGCGGGTCAAATGCTGAAACATTTACCGACTCGCGGTGGATAACATAAAAACCTTGAACATCCAATAGAAGGGTTGATAGAACGTTGAAAAATTTATCAACTGTCGACTTTTCCATAGTGTAAACCCAGTACCTATATAGATGCCAATATTCAATTATAATGCTGAGACAAGTATATTAGGCCTTCCGCTTATCGTGACTTTGTCGTAGAACTGTTATTTCACAACATACTTATCTCCAAGGTGCATTCAACCTTATGTGCAAGGTTCAGATAAAGGGCAGCATATATATACGCACGTGTTCAATCGTCTTATCTGCATCTCCGCAATTATACATAATTGGGGTGATCACACCTGATTCTGACAGTCAGTGCAATTGTGGATTCTAGACCTAACATCAATCCATCATCCACTCATACGTATAACCATTCATGCATATATATTAAAATCATATACTATCTGGAATACAATAACGGGCCCTAGATCATATTGCAGTTAAATTCTACATTATTACAAATTATATAACTATTATTATAAAATAAAGCAGGCATAAACACATACAATTTTACATTTGGTAATGAAATAAAATGTTTACAAAGGCAATTTAGAGATTCCAGCCGATAATAATTCCACCACAATATATGCCAACTAGTGAGGCTCATAGGGTCTATGTCCCCAGGTACTGCCGCGAATGTACCCTGGTACGTCGGTTATTACCGCGAACGTATACCTGGTCACTATTTGATTGGTTAGGGTTAGGATTAGGGTTAGGGTTAGGGTTAGCGGATTAGGGTTAGGTGGTTAGGGTAGGGATAGGCGTAGAGCCGGGACTCCGCTGGACTCATTAGTGATAGGCGAAGGTACGGTCTGGCATATTAATTTAAGGATAGTATCCGGGTACGTCCGGTATATGCGACCGTTACCAGGGTACCTTCCGGCAGTACCCTGGGGGATATAGACCCTCTCAGTACTAGTGAGCCGTATAGAAATATACACACCTGACAAGTTGACAACCGGGTATGTTGGCCAGGTGACTTACATAGCTTTGTATATGCAACAATGACAAGATAATCTACAAGTCACGACCCTCTAAGTGAAACATTACAATTAAACTAATGCTCAAAAAATACCCATAGATCAAATTTACCTTGGTCCCATGACAGCAAGAAGGCAGCCTGGCTGTATAACCCCACTAACTGGTTAAGATGGAAAACAACAAGCTATTAGGAATATGAAATACGATTATTCTAAAATCAACCACAAATAGAAAATAACATACATATACATCTGTTTATAATACAATTATATGACTGTAATCAATTTCATCTATGTATTCATCAAGCATGTGTTTTGCCAGAAGAAGCTCTGCCTTCTCATCAATGCTTGGGACACACAATACAGAGATAATTAAATGATTATGTGCAATACAGTGTAAATACCAATGTATACGTATAGACTATAGTATACAATATGTGTATTGTACCTTAAAAATAAAATGACAATCATTTCATAACGTTTCACAAGAAACCAAGAATTGTAAGGCTATAATTAAGCTTTTGTCAGACGAGGAGATTCTTTCCGAGACAAGCACATCCTTGTACGAAAGGTGCACCTACAGGCCCGAGATTCTTATCTCTCCTTCACGTTTGGAATTTTCTCAGGCTACAGTTTTCATAAAATCCAGAAAATAATTTATGAGAAACAGCATTCGTTAATTGTGCCCAAAATCCATAGTTATTTATGAATATAAGAGAAAAATATGGCAATTTCAAAATACAAATCTTGTAATAACTCGAATATATTTCAAACTTGAAAGAATGTTTGTATTAGTATGAGTATGTCATTACAGAAGCAAAATAAAATTAGTACTTTCTTCCCTAATGAAACATCCGGTTACATACATATGACATATAACAGTTGCAGGCCAGAAATATATCTCTAACAATGTAAAAATCAAATTCTTATAATGACTCTGAGATGTTTTCTTTGGCAGGAAATTCAGAAGAATGCCTGACAAATTTGAATTGTTATGTTAAACATGAAAATGGGTCATGATGTCACAATTTCTGACTGGAACCTCATCTTGTAACCTTATTTACAACATTGAAATTGAGAAAAATTAATTTTTTAATTTTTTAATTTTTTAATTTTTTTAATAATGTAATTAGTTTTTTTTGTTTTTGTTTAAAAAGGGGGGGCACGGGCCGGATGTGCCCCCATCTAAATCCGCGCCTGCGTAACGCAACCAACTTGAGCTCAAATCGTACACAGTATATTCGCCTAGCATCGTGCGAAATCGTTTCCTCGTATACACCTGCAATCCGGAGATATAGACTAAAACGTACGACACAATTTTCCATTCTGTCGCCAGCAAAATCTATGCGTTCAGAGACGAATTTGAAACAAAAGGCAGCTACTAACGCACTATATTGCTAACTCGGCGGGCAATGTGGCTCACTGGGAGATTATAGGCATCAACGCAACACTCGGCGAGATAACCTTTGCCCCGGTACACAGCTACATACCGGCATGCCGGCATACAGCTGACATGCCCCCATACCACGCACGCACGCAAATCCGCTATCAGCAGCAGATCGGACTCAAATCTCCCAGCGAGCCACATTGCCCGCCGAGTTAGCAATAGCGCGTTAGTAGCTGCCTTCTGTTTCAAATTCGTCTCTGAACGCATAGATTTTGCTGGCTACAGAATGGAAAATCGTGTCGTACGTTTTAGTCTATATCTCCGGATTGCAGGTGTATACGAGGAAACGATTTCGCACGATGCTAGGCGAATGTACTGTGTGTACGATTTGAGCTCAAGTTGGTTGCGTTACACGTAGTAAATCGTAGGTATTTTAAGGCTAGTAAATGACGAATTTCCCTTGTTTATTGATGTCACACTCCTTCCCTATTATCTACTCCTGATATACATACAGCAACCTTCACAGAGTTAATACATGATCATAAAACATGATAATATTGAATGCTATGTATAAT